CTGAGTGCCCCAATGAGGCACAAACATCAGCTACCTCTCACCTGGGTGCACCCCACCCTTGAACTGTCCTCTCAGCCCTCAGAGGGTGTGGTAGCACTTGGCTCCTCCCAGGTCCCACTTCTCCAAAGCTCAAGGGCTACTGCATGGCCAGCATGCTCCTGACCTGGGAACTTCTTCCCCTCTCCCCCTCCCACCTCTAATTAAAACAGATGTGAAGACTGGCTGAGTTGCCTGCAAAGAGCTCTTTAACCAGTCAGCTGCCGAGATGCCAGGTGGGTCCTGGTCTGGAGAGAGCTTGTAAGCCTCGTAAATGTTATTAAAGTATTTTACTTTAAAATTATAAAAGTAGGTTTACAGTTGTGAGTATGGGAAATGTTTATTATTGTATTGTTGTTTTTTTTTTAGAAAACAAAAGTAAAGGCAATTTTATTATACATGGGAAAATAAATCACATTTAAGCACAAACATAAAAACAACAGACTCATTTCTCATCTTCAAGCTGTTTCTTTTCACTGGTTTCTTCCATATCAAAAGTGAATGGTTTGTCATAACCCATTAGATGGTCATAGTCTTTGGGGTTTGGAAAGAGACCTGAATTAACTAACAGTGATTTTGTTTTAGCATAAAATGTGGTAAACAGATGTGTGCTGCTTGGAATCTTCACATCATTCTGTTGAAACACAGTACTGGTTTCTGAAAGCAAAACATTGTAAGTAATGGCTTTGTAAGTATCTGTCGTGGCCTCATGGTACAACCGAATGACATAGCCTTTTGTAACTCAGTGAAGCAGGACTGGAGTGATCAGTGTAAAGCTTCCTATGATGCCATAAAATAAGATTTGCAAAGGCAGACTTCCAAATACAACATTATTTGGGGCAAAAATGTATGGTAGAAATGTAAGGCTGATCACACTTGTAGAATAAGAGAAACATTTCACACCAAATACTGTTCGGGCCAAATTCCCAGTATAAATCAGTCTTCCGTCTTCTGATTTTTCAACTTGTTTGTGTAAGCATCGAACACATCTTTCCCAACAAATGGGTATCTTGGTTGCAGGCTGATCCATGCTTCTCTCTCCAGGAGTCAGCTGATCCATGCTTCCATCTCTGCGCTGGCGCGGGACTCCGGAAAAGGCGCCGCCCAGCGCTCCCGCCCGCCGACTGGCCCCGAGGAGCTGCCGGAGGCCCCTCGCGAGCCGGCCGCCCTGAGGCCTGGGAACCCGATGACCGCCCACGGCATCGCCCTCTGCCCGCAGAGCAGCCGACCCGCCGCCAAGGGCCGCCCAACGCCAAAAGCAGCATCCCGCACGGGAGGAGTGGCGACGAGCCCCGCCGCGCCACGTGCCGGGAACCCCGAAGGCCTATTACTGTATTGTTTATTAATTATTGTATTATTTATTATTATTAACCTACTTTTGCCCACCCCTGTATATCTGCTTGAAACTATCAGAAAGCAATGCGGAAGGATTTATGGGGTTAAAATCTGTGATGAGGCTGGCCACATGGGGGCAGCCTTACACAGGCTGTCAGAGCCTATTAGAGAGCGCTCAGGGGGAGGGAGGGTGTGAGTCCCACAGTCCATAGGAAAGGAGAGATGAGTTTGGCATTGGAGACTGCCTCTGCCAATTCTGAAAGTAGAGGCCAAGAGGTCTAGATGCTAAACACAGTTTTTAACAGACGCATGGGGCTGAAGGGACAAAAATTAGAGTTGAGGGCTGCAAGGAAAAATTATACACCTCAGGTTTTAATTTGAAATGCGAAACAGTTCATCCAGATTCCAATGACCTCAATCCTGTTTGGATTAAAGGGACTACAAGTGACTAATGTCTACCTGCCTGGCAGAAGCAAAAGTAAGTTATCTAGGAGAACAACATCGTCCAGAGCTTTGAACTGTCTACAGTTCGTCAAGGGTGATTCTGCGGCTCAGTTCAAAATAACCGGACCTGCCAAGAGACAAGATATGGACAAAAGTCAAGAGAAATGGCCATGGAAACAGGTCTATATGGGACCTGAGGCTCTAAGCCAGGGGTCAGCAAAACATGGCCCACAGGCCAAATCCAGCCCTCCACCTGTTTTTGTAAATCAAGGCTCATAGAGCCACAGCCACACTCATCCTTGTGTGTGTGTGTGTGTGTGGCTGCTTTTGTACTGTTAAGACAAACAATTTTGATTGACGGGTGCCCATCATTTTAGAAGGCTTTCCCTCCCCCCATGCAGTTTTTCATGTTCCTCATCAAGTAATTTCCATTATTGAATGCTAACAGAGAAAACAGGATTGCAGGAACAGTCACAAAAAGTAGTGATGGCATAAATTATAGTGAAAAAGACTGTGAAGACAGAGGGGTCTGTCCCAATTGTCTGAGTCACTGAAAACCAAACACCGAGGCTTACCTCCAGGGTTAATGGAGACCTGAATCATGGAACCAAAGAGCCATGTTCTGGAAACCAATTTAACCTCTAGGGCTCTCACTTCCCACTCTCCAGTCACAGTCTAACCAGAGCAAGTCTACATCCAATAGTGTAGGTAATAGTGCAGTGGGTGTACATCCGTATACCGTAAGTGGGTGCAAGAAGCATCACTTTGCTTTATTTTTCTAAATCAAACAGCACTTACCTCTGAGTCCCACTTCCCCAAGTGCTGAGGCACTGAGTCCTTTTTAGCTCCTTTAGCTGCTGCTGTTTTAACACTTGGAGCTGCCCAGGATCTTCCAAACATTTCAAGAAACTACAAAGTCCAGCAACTGCAGAGCTTGGGGAAGACCTTGGAGCTTCAGGCCGTGCCTGAGACATTCACACGGGGGTTAGTGCCCACGCTGCCCAGGCGCATTCGAAGGCAGGAAGCACCTTTTCTGAGATTCACCGAGTCCCAAGGCAGGGCAATTTGTGTTCCGTGTCCCCAGCAGCTACCTGCCATCCAAGAGGCTCCTTGCCATTGCTCCCTCTGGGCCCCACTTGGAAGTGGGGATGCAGGGCCCTGGCACCCTTTGAACCAGGAAGTTCAAAGGCCTATCGTCTTAGATCTGGACAAATTGGTCTCCTCAATGCCCTTGGCCTCAGTGGCTCTCCTCTCCACTTTATCCTCCCCTTCAATGAACTGAGTCTCCCAAACAAAAGCCTGCATGCGACGTAGTGTCACAGGAGCTTGGCAACTTGTGTTTTATTCCAAGAACTACAAAGGCTATTCTTGTAAGAGCTTTCTTCAGTCTTTTAAAAAAATTAATTCTGCAATAAAATGATTCTACCAAAATTGCGCTATACTGAGATAGTCTCTCAGGTTACTCTCTATATAGCTTATGTGCCAATTTACTGCTCAGTGAAAATGAACATTTAACTTCTTTCCTTTTTGGGGCGGGGGGATGGGCTCAGCCCACACCTCTTGTCCCTCCAGCAGTTTCTGTGACTTTCCTTGGTCCTGCAAGGAATAGACGAGGTTGCCACACAACAGAAGGGGGCAAAGTCAAGAACCTCCATGGCGGGGCCCGGGGTCTGGCCACATCAGTCAGCACCACATCTGCCACATGTTCTAGAGTCGGAATGTTGAAGTCTACAGTCTGGAGTGGGCCTCTGTGATCTCAGGCCACAACTCAGGGGACTGGAGACAGGGAGCAGTCCCTCCCCACTTTGTCCCCTCCTCCTCAGAGGAGTAGTGAACCCACGCCCTGGCTGCACTAGGCTGAGGGAGGGTGTCACGTGACCTCTCCCATGTCTGGAGCCCTGCAGTGCAGCAAGGTAAATGTACACAGGAGTCATTTCCCTGAACAGCTGCTGACCACACACATCCCTTGCCTCCTCTGGGCCTCAGTTTCCTTAAATTTTAAAATGAGAACACATAAAAGCATCCTATCTCATAGGATTATTCTGAGGATTAAATTACTTACTATCCGTGCCCTGATCTTCCCACCAAAACCTGTGTTCCCTGCCCCAACTCCAGCAGTCCTCTCTCCCTCGGATATCAGCAGGCCCAAACCTAACTTCTTTCCATTGAAGTCTTAGAGACCACTGATCTGGGTTCAGATGAGCTGAACAGGAGAAAGATGAGTATAAAATTAAGTGCACAAATGTTCCTGAAAAATATGACTGAGTTCATACATACAGAGGGATGCTGAAGACTTCAAATAATCATCATTGTTGAGGAATTCTGCACATTCCTGTGTATGGATGTCATTATTTAGTATTTTATTCCTTGCAAGTCACAATGAAAGAAGAAAGCTTAGAAAATGCTAAAAAATACAAAGTAAATAAAAAAAATCTGAGAGGTGATTGTAAATAACCACTGCAAACATTTCAGTGTATGTTTTTTAGTTCTTTCTCTAACATATTTTTAACATTTTATCACAAAATACGTATGTGTATTTTTTAAATTCAAGTAAAGTGTTATAAATTTGATGGTGAAAAATAACCTTTCTCATGTAATGCCCAACATTAGAGGTAATCCCTTTTTCACTTTTCTAGCTATTTCTTTTAGTATTTACTGCCATGTGTCTCAAGATCATGTTGATTCTACTAGTTCTTGATTTTCAATCATAGACATTTTCTATTTATCTCCACCAAGGAAGATGAAAATTAGCTCCCTCTCTCTCAGTTCCCCCTGCCATTGCTGTTCCTCTTTCTTATTTTTTAAAAATCTTTATTGTTGAATGTATGACATATGTCCCCTTTTTTCTCCCATTGACCTGTCCTCTTTATAAGCATTCACACTCACAGGTGAGTATAATGTGATAGCATAATTGGGTTGTGTTTCCATTCTTAAGTTTTTTCTGGGTAGTAGTCATTGTTTTTCTGTTTGTTTAGCTTTCCACGTGCTTATTCATGTACTGATTCATCAGCCAGAGTGTCAGCCAGAGCTGTGAACCCCCCTTCAGTGGGTTCGGACAGCCCAGGCCTTCTCTGCTGTTTTCCCCATGAAGTCCACACTCGTCCACTCTCCTGGGGCCTCGCTCCCTCTTGCTCCAGTCTGGATCGGCCTCTCTTTAACCTGCAACACAGCTGTCAACGTTGGACAACACTACTTTCTTCATTTGGTAATTTCCTCCACTTCCCTTCTGTGTTAGAACCCTGTTTCCTCTCTTATTTGCTCCTTTTTAAAAATGGAATATATCCATCAGAGCCTTCCTGGTAATGGGTGCAAAGAGGCAAAGTTTTTCTGTCCTTCTGTATCTGAGAATGTCTTTTTCTTCCTTCCTCTGACAAGCGACTGTTTAACTGGATATAGGATTCTGAGTTGAATATCATTGTCCTTAAATGTTCAATTTTCTCTTTGTCCCTGGTTTTCTGAAACCTTATGATGATGTGTATTGTTATAAATTTAACTCCATACCATTGTATTGGGGACTTTTGATCTGGAGACCTTGTGTCCTTCAGTTATGTGAATTTATTTTATATTTCCTTTTCCTCTTAATTCTTTTTTAAAAAATATATTTTTATTGATTTCAGAGAGGAAGGAAGAGGGAGAGAGAGATAGAAACATCAATGATGAGAGAGAATCATTGATTGGCTGCATCCTGCAAGCCCCCCACTGGGGATCGAGCCCACAACTCGGGCATGTGCCCTTGACCAGAATCGAACCTGGGACCTTTGAGTTCGCAGGTCAACACTCTATCCACTGAGCCAAACTGGATAGGGCTTCCTCTTAATTCCTTTTAAGAATTCCTATTAATTGGCTGTTTGATCTCTTTTTAGAAAAATATGTTTTTATTGATTTCATAGAGAAGGAAAGAGAGATAGAAAAATCAATGATAAGAGTCATTGATCAATTGCCTCCTGCACGCCCCCTACTGGGGGTCAAGCCCTAAGCAAGGCATGTACCCTGACTGGGAAT